AAGAAAAGATTGCACTAGCTGTGTATTATGAAATTTGATTATTTATACATTTTTTAAATACTTACATAGGGATTATTGTTTTAAGCATAGAGAATTTTGATTGACAAAAAAGAAAAAAAGTTATGGGTTTCGGAAGTTAGGCGTCAAATTTTTAAAAAGTAAAAATTGTAGTAACTTTTGATATTTTTACTCAATCAAAAATCTCTATGCTTAAGGGGGGAGTACACCTGAAAAATAGGGCGATCTAAAATGTTTTATATTTGCACAAGGTTACATCCAAACCCCCACAAACTATATATTAGTAGAAAGCTTAGAACCTGGAGATTCAGAAAAAAAATATTTCAAACAGTGAAAAGCTGTATTAAGGTGGCTCTGCACCGTTCATCAAATTTTCGGTTTAGCTTTATTCAAGAAAAGATTGCACTAGCTGTGTATTATGAAATTTGATTATTTATACATTTTTTTAAATACTTACATAGGGATTATTGTTTTAAGCATAGAGAATTTTGATTGACAAAAAAGAAAAAAAGTTATGGGTTTGGGAAGTTAGGCGTCAAATTTTTAAAAAGTAAAAATTGTAGTAACTTTTGATATTTTTACTCAATCAAAAATCTCTATGCTTAAAACACAAAGCTAAGTGAGAGGAGCATTCTCTGAAAATTTCAGTGCAATCCAATAAATTGTTATCGAGATATCTTTTCTCAAAGTCTAAAATATCCGAAAATGAGAAAAATGAGTTTAAAGTCTCTTGTATCGAAAACACTTGATTTTTCATACATTTTGAAAATCTTAAGCCTGGATAATTTAAATCCTACCATTTACTTGGTGTTTTAAAAAGTTTTGTTACAGTTTAAAATCCTCTAGCCTCTTTATGTCACTCCTTCAGCTTCCCAAATAGCTTCTTCCCGTTGCGTTCAAATCAGTTTCTCTCCTTGGCGTCGTTTCTTCTCTTTTTCAGTTGCCTGTAAAATCAGATTTCTTCATTCGCTGCACATCGATCTTGCATCACAAGCTTGTTTTGTTTTACCCCCAGAGTGAATGGACAGCTGTTTCATAACACCAAGTCGACTCTTTGCTCCAATATGGAAGTGGGGGAATAGCGGCAGCTACAGGACATCGCACTGCTTTGCGGCCATGTTGTTTATGCTTTGGATACTTAGCCCAAGCTAGAGCATTCAAACTGCCATTTTGTTTTTCAGTTGTGCCAAGAACACACCTTTGAAGCAACTGTGTTTGACTAAGAGAAATGACCAACACGTCCACTTTCATCTTCTTCCAAAGTTAAATTTCCTAAAGAAATGTTCATTAACATTTTTAAAACAATTGACACATATATGTACTGTATATTGCAACTGTTTACATGTTACACAACAAATATATACAACTTTTGTTGCAGAATAGATATAAAAGGGGTTTGCAGGAGTACAATTTAAACCATATGTTATATTAAACCAGTTTTGAAGGATAAGATATAAAACACAAAGGGCAAATTCTTACCTTCCTCACACATGTGTTGAATATTTGAGACAGCATAATTGGATTGGCAGCCAAACTGCTCAGCCTGTATTCGTGGATATTTTCTTCGGTGTAATTATCACTATTGTCATTTCTGATTTCACATCGTAATTTTCTTGAAGTTCCAATAACATTACTTTGGTTTGAGCCATCAACATTGTCTGTTTGGCGATTCACACGTGGGATCATCATTACTCATATTTTGATCTCGTGTTGAGTCACGATCTTGGTGTCTTTGCTTACCAGAAAACCTCTTTCCCTTCCTTTTTCGCTTGTATTAAGAAGATCTACTCTTCGTACCGGTCATTGTTATAATTTGAAGAAAAGAGACACATTTCTTGGCCTTCAATTCGCATTGTTTTTTGCTTCAACATGCATCGACGTACACAATTCATTGCATCAACAAATATCAGACTCAAATTCAAACAGGAGCCCGCGATGTAATAGCAATGCAGGGACGTCATGTACCACAATATATAGTGTACTTGCTATACACATGCTAATTTGGCAGTTTCAGCCGAACAATGGGCAAAAAACCGTCAAAAAACAAAAAAATGCTGTTACCGTTGCCATAGTAACGGAATCAGCATATTCAAACAATAATAATAAAAGCCTTTAAAATACATGAAGATGTTGGAATTTCAAAAAACTCTTTTTCCATATGTTAGTTAGGTACCTGAAGTACCTGAAAATGCAAAAAAATATTTTTTCATTTTTTCGCAAAATTTCAGGTGTACTCCCCCCTTAAAACACAAAGCTAAGTGAGAGGAGCATTCTCTGAAAATTTCAGTGCAATCCAATAAATTGTTATCGAGATATCTTTTCTCAAAGTCTAAAATATCCGAAAATGAGAAAAACGAGTTTAAAGTCTCTTGTATCGAAAACACTTGATTTTTCATACATTTTGAAAATCTTAAGCCTGGATAATTTAAATCCTAGCATTTACTTGGTGTTTTAAAAAGTTTTGTTACAGTTTAAAATCCTCTAGCCTCTTTATGTCACTCCTTCAGCTTCCCAAATAGCTTCTTCCCGTTGCATTCAAATAGCTTCTTCCCGTTGCGTTCAGTTTCTCTCCTTGGCGTCGTTTCTTCTCTTTTTCAGTTGCCTGTAAATCAGATTTCTTCATTCGCTGCACATCGATCTTGCATCACAAGCTTGTTTTGTTTTACCCCCAGTGTGAATGGACAGCCGTTTCATAACACCAAGTCGACTCTTTGCTCCAATATGGAAGTGGGGGAATAGCGGCAGCTACAGGACATTGCACTGCTTTGCGGCCATGTTGTTTATGCTTTGGATACCTAGTCCAAGCTAGAGCATTCAAACTGCCATTTTGGTTTTCAGTTGTGCCAAGAACACACCTTTGAAGCAACTCTGTTTGACTAAGAGAAATGACCAACACGTCCACTTTCATCTTCTTCCAAAGTTAAATTTCCTAAAGAAATGTTCATTAACATTTTTAAAACAATTGACACATATATGTACTGTATATTGCAACTGTTTACATGTTACACAACAAATATATACAACTTTTGTTGCAGAATAGATATAAAAGGGGTTTGCAGGAGTACAATTTAAACCATATGTTATATTAAACCAGTTTTGAAGGATAAGATATAAAACACAAAGGGCAAATTCTTACCTTCCTCACACATGTGTTGAATATTTGAGACAGCATAATCGGATAGGCAGCCAAACTGATCAGCCTGTATTCGGGGATATTTTCTTCGGTGTCATTATCACTATTATCATTTCTGATTTCACATCGTAATTTTCTTGAAGTTCCAATAACATTATTTTGGTTTGAGCCATCAACATTGTTTATTTGGAGATTCACACGTGGGATCATCATTACTCATATTTTGATCTCGTGTTGAGTCACGATCTTGGTGTCTTTGCAATACCAGAAAACCTCTTTCCCTTCCTTTTTCGCTTGTATTAAGAAGATCTACTCTTCGTACCGGTCATTGTTATAATTTGAAGAAAAGAGATACATTTCTTGGCCCTCAATTCGCATTGTTTTTTGCTTCAACATGCATCGACGTACACAATTCATTGCATCAACAAATATCAGACTCAAATTCAAACAGGAGCCCGCGATGTAATAGCAATGCAGGGACGTCATGTACCACAATATATAGTGTACTTGCTATACACATGCTAATTTGGACAGTTTCAGCCGAACAATGGGCAAAAAACCGTCAAAAAACAAAAAATGCTGTTACCGTTGCCATAGTAACAGAATCAGCATATTCAAACAATAGTAATAAAAGCCTTTAAAATACATGAAGATGTTGGAATTTCAAAAAACTCTTTTTACATATGTTAGTTAGGTACCTGAAGTACCTGAAAATGCAAAAAAATATTTTTTCATTTTTTCGCAAAATTTCAGGTGTACTCCCCCCTTAAAAAGCTGAAGAACGACACGAACTTCAGTTAATGTACAGTATTTCACATTGCTTTGCTATCTATTTAGCTAACAAGAATATATTCAAGGCAATTCATTCATTTTGCCGCTTTGCGTAAACAGCCGTTTTGGGGCTAAACAGCCGTTTTGGGGCAATTTGACCCTTCCATTATTCGCTCAAACTCTTGAAATTTTATATGGCCCAAAAATGTTATTTCACTTATCGAAAGATCAGTCCTTGCTGAAAACGTTGGTATAATGTTCATGTTCTAATTCGAGGTATCAGTGGTGATATATGGATTTTATCGGACATAGTCTAAAGTTGCGTAAAACAAGCGACAAGTTGAAAAATCGATAAAATATTCAAATCTACATCAAATTCGACTTTGAGAGCTGCTACTTGTACGTTAGTGTTTGTATTTTATGAAAAATAAGTTTAAATGTGCAGTACTTTTGATTTACCAGCGTAAACAAACTCAATCTGAAGTAGTTTCTATCGCCCTATAAAAAATAGGCCCGTCAGCCGTGAGAACACAAATATCGACTTCTCGTTATAAATATTTTTCGAATCAAAGTTAAACACATATTTATATTATCAGGTCCAACTAACTTACATTTTGACAAAGTTTGAGCGATTTTGATATTTCACGTTCTGCACGACATAGGGGATATTTACAGACAGCCTCTCTTAAATTTGCAGAAACCTCGAAAATGATAATGGAGTCTTTCTTGAGCCCGATATGGGACTCGAACCCATGACCCTCAGATTAAAAGTCTGATGCTCTACCAACTGAGCTAACCGGGCAGCACGGAGGTTGGGAATCTCATGCGTCAATAAGATCGTGATCTTCTTAGTAATTATCTTAATGTCATTAAAAAAAGTCAGATAATTTAGGAACGTCGTTTTGCCGAAACCCGGGATTCAACCAGGGACCTTCAGATCTTCAGTCTGACGCTCTCGCATCTGACCTATTTCGGCAGATACTGTATTTCTTAAGAACCTACTTCGAAGAGTGATGTCCTTTCCAAATAGCAGGTTAAATTTGCAGAAACCCCGAAAATGATAATGCAGTCTTTCTTGAGCTCGATATGGGACTCGACCACATGGCCGTCATATTAAAAGTCTGATGTTCTACCAACTGAGCTAACCGGGCAGCACGGAGGTTGGGAATCTCATGCGTCAATAAGATCGTGATCTTCTTAGTCATTATCTTAGTATCATTAAAAAAAATGAGATAATTTAGGAAAGTCGTTTTGCCGAAACACGCGATTGAATCAAGTACCTTCAGCTCTTCAGTCTGACGCTCCCCCATGTGACCTATTTCTACAGATACTGTATTTCTTAAGAACCTACTTTGAAGTGTGCAGTCCTTTCCAAATAGCTTGTTATATTTGCAGAAACCCCGCAAATGGCAATGCAGTCTTTCTTGAGCCCGTTATGGGTGTGAACCCATGGCCCTCAGATTAAAAGTCTGATGCTCTACCGATAGAGATAACCGGGCAGTGCGGAGGTTGGGAATCTCATGCGTCAATAAGATCGTGATCTTCCTAGTAATTATCTTAGTTTCATTAAAAAAAGTCAGATAATTTAGGAACGTCGTTTTGCCGAAACCCGGGATTGAACCAGGGACCTTCAGATCTTCAGTCTGACGCTCTCCCTTCTGAGCTATTTCGGCAGGTACAATATCTCTTAATATCGTACTTCACAGTGTGATGTCCTTTCCAAATAGCTTGTTAATTAAATTTCCAGAAACCTCCAAAATTATAACGCTGTCTTTCTTGAGCCCGATATGGGACTCGAACCCATGGCCCTCAGATTAAAAGTCTGATGCTCTACCAACTGAGCTAACCGGGCAGCACAGAGGTTGGGAATCTCATGCGTCAATAAGATCGTGATCTTCTTAGTAATTATCTTAGTGTCATTAAAAAAAGTCATTGAACCAGGGACATTCAGATCTTCAGTCTGGCGCTCTCCCATCTGACCTATTTCGGCAGATACTCTAATTCTTAAGAACCTACTTCGAAGTGTGATATCCTTTCCAAATAGCTGGTTAAATTTGCAGAAACCCCGAAAATGATAATGCAGTCTTTCTTGAGCCAGATATGGGACTCGAACCCATAGTCCTCAGATTAAAAGTCTGATGCTCTACCAACTAAGCTAACCGGGCACCACGGAGGTTGGGAATCTCATGCGTCAATAAGATCGTGATCTTGTTAGTAATTATCTTAGTGTCATTACAAAAACTCAGATAATTTAGGAACCTCGTTTTGCCGAAACCCGGGATTGAACCAGGTACCTTCAGATCTTCAGCCTGACGCTCTCCCTTCTGAGCGATTTCGGCAGGTACAATATCTCTTAAGATCGTACTTCAGAGTGTGTAGTACCCTTTCCAAATAGCTTGTTATATTTGCAGAAACCCCGAAAATGACAATGCAGTCTTTCTTGAGCCCGATATGGGACTCGAACCCATGGCCCTCAGATTAAAAGTCTGATGCTCTACCAACTGAGCTAACCGAGCAGCACGGAGGTTGGGAATCTCATGCGCGAATAAGATCGTGATCTTCTTAGTAATTATCTTAGTATCATTAAAAAAAAAAGAGATAATTTAGGAAAGTCGTTTTGCCGAAACACGCGATTGAATCAAGTACCTTCAGCTCTTCAGTCTGACGCTCCCCCATGTGACCTATTTCGACAGATACTGTATTTCTTAAGAACCTACTTTGAAGTGTGCAGTCCTTTCCAAATAGCTTGTTATATTTGCAGAAACCCCGCAAATGGCAATGCAGTCTTTCTCGAGCCCGTTATGGGTGTCGAACCCATGGCCCTCAGATTAAAAGCCTGATGCTCTACCGATAGAGATAACCGGGCAGTGCGGAGGTTGGGAATCTCATGCGTCAATAAGATCGTGATCTTCTTAGTAATTATCTTAGTTTCATTAAAAAGAGTCAGGTAATTTAGGAACGTCGTTTTGCCGAAACCCGGGATTGAACCAGGGACCTTCAGATCTTCAGTCTGACGCTCTCCCCTCTGAGCTATTTCGGCAGGTACAATATCTCTTAAGATCGTACTTCACAGTGTGATGTCCTTTCCAAATAGCTTGTTAATTAAATTTCCAGAAACCTCCAAAATTATAAAGCTGTCTTTCTTGAGCCCGATATGGGACTCGAACCCATGGCCCTCAGATTAAAAGTCTGATGCTCTACCAACTGAGCTAACCGGGCAGCACGGAGGTTGGGAATCTCATGCGTCAATAAGATCGTGATCTTCTTAGTAATTATCTTAGTGTCATTAAAAAAAGTCAGATAATTTAAGAACGTCGTTTTGCCGAAACCCGGGATTGAACCAGGGACTTTCAGATCTTCAGTCTGGCGCTCTCCCATTTGACCTATTTCGGCAGATACTCTAATTCTTAAGAACCTACTTCGAAGTGTGATATCCTTTCCAAATAGCTGGTTAAATTTGCAGAAACCCCGAAAATGATAATGCAGTCTTTCTTGAGCCAGATATGGGACTCGAACCCATAGCCCTCAGATTAAAAGTCTGATGCTCTACCAACTAAGCTAACCGGGCACCACGGAGATTGGGAATCTCATGCGTCAATAAGATCGTGATCTTGTTAGTAATTATCTTGGTGTCATTACAAAAAGTCAGATAATTTAGGAACCTCGTTTTGCCGAAACCCGGGATTGAACCAGGTACCTTCAGATCTTCAGCCTGACGCTCTGCCTTCTGAGCGATTTCGGCAGGTACAATATCTCTTAAGATCGTACTTCAGAGTGTGTAGTACCCTTTCCAAATAGCTTGTTATATTTGCAGAAACCCCGAAAATGACAATGCAGTCTTTCTTGAGCCCGATATGGGACTCGAACCCATGGCCCTCAGATTAAAAGTCTGATGCTCTACCAACTGAGCTAACGGGGTAGCACGGAGGTTGGGAATCTCATGCGTGAATAAGATCGTGATCTTCTTAGTAATTATCTTAGTATCATTAAAAAAAATGAGATAATTTAGGAAAGTCGTTTTGCCGAAACACGCTATTGAATCAAGTACCTTCAGCCACAGTATAGGAAAAGTACAGTAGGGCCACTCAGCATAAAAAAGTGTCTACATTGTTTACTGGCTGCCAACCTAATTTACATATTGGCAGCCAGTAAACGGCAGCAGTCCACTATAAAATTGTACTACAGAATAATGATTTTGGCCGCGTAAGACACCTGGAACCTAGCTTAAATAATTGCCACTTTTCTCTCCCCTAAGTGGCCCTACTGGTTGTCTCCCTATACTGTGCTTCAGCTCTTCAGTCTGACGCTCCCCCATGCGACCTATTTCGACAGATACTGTATTTCTTAAGAACCTACTTTGAAGTGTGCAGTCCTTTCCAAATAGCTTGTTAAATTTGCAGAAACCCCGAAAATGATAATGCAGTCTTTCTTGAGCCCAATATGGGACTCGAACCCATGGCCCTCAGATTAAAAGTCTGATGCTCTACCAACTGAGCTAACCGGGCAGCACGGAGGTTGGGAATCTCATGCGTGAATAAGATCGTGATCTTCTTAGTAATTATCTTAGTATCATAAAAAAAATTCAGATAATTTAGGAAAGTCGTTTTGCAGAAACCCGGGATTGAACCAGGGACCTTCAGATCTTCAGTCTGACGCTCTCCCTTCTGAGGTATTTCGGCAAGTACAATATCTCCTAAGATCGTACTTCAGAGTATGATGTCCTTTCCAAATAGCTGGTTAAATTTGCAGAAACCCCGAAAATGATAATGCAGTCTTTCTTGAGCCAGATATGGGACTCGAACCCATAGCCCTCAGATTAAAAGTCTGATGCTCTACCAACTAAGCTAACCGGGCACCACGGAGATTGGGAATCTCATGCGTCAATAAGATCGTGATCTTGTTAGTAATTATCTTGGTGTCATTACAAAAAGTCAGATAATTTAGGAACCTCGTTTTGCCGAAACCCGGGATTGAACCAGGTACCTTCAGATCTTCAGCCTGACGCTCTGCCTTCTGAGCGATTTCGGCAGGTACAATATCTCTTAAGATCGTACTTCAGAGTGTGTAGTACCCTTTCCAAATAGCTTGTTATATTTGCAGAAACCCCGAAAATGACAATGCAGTCTTTCTTGAGCCCGATATGGGACTCGAACCCATGGCCCTCAGATTAAAAGTCTGATGCTCTACCAACTGAGCTAACCGGGTAGCACGGAGGTTGGGAATCTCATGCGTGAATAAGATCGTGATCTTCTTAGTAATTATCTTAGTATCATTAAAAAAAATGAGATAATTTAGGAAAGTCGTTTTGCCGAAACACGCTATTGAATCAAGTACCTTCAGCCACAGTATAGGAAAAGTACAGTAGGGCCACTCAGCATAAAAAAGTGTCTACATTGTTTACTGGCTGCCAACCTAATTTACATATTGGCAGCCAGTAAACGGCAGCAGTCCACTATAAAATTGTACTACAGAATAATGATTTTGGCCGCGTAAGACACCTGGAACCTAGCTTAAATAATTGCCACTTTTCTCTCCCCTAAGTGGCCCTACTGGTTGTCTCCCTATACTGTGCTTCAGCTCTTCAGTCTGACGCTCCCCCATGCGACCTATTTCGACAGATACTGTATTTCTTAAGAACCTACTTTGAAGTGTGCAGTCCTTTCCAAATAGCTTGTTAAATTTGCAGAAACCCCGAAAATGATAATGCAGTCTTTCTTGAGCCCAATATGGGACTCGAACCCATGGCCCTCAGATTAAAAGTCTGATGCTCTACCAACTGAGCTAACCGGGCAGCACGGAGGTTGGGAATCTCATGCGTGAATAAGATCGTGATCTTCTTAGTAATTATCTTAGTATCATAAAAAAAATTCAGATAATTTAGGAAAGTCGTTTTGCAGAAACCCGGGATTGAACCAGGGACCTTCAGATCTTCAGTCTGACGCTCTCCCTTCTGAGGTATTTCGGCAAGTACAATATCTCCTAAGATCGTACTTCAGAGTATGATGTCCTTTCCAAATAGCTTGTTAAATTTGCAGAAACCCCGAAAATGATAATGCAGTCTTTATTGAGCCCGATATGGGACTCGAACCAATGGCCCTCAGATTAAAAGTCTGATGCTCTACCAACTGAGCTTACCGGGCAGCACGGAGGTTCGGAATCTCATGCGTCAATAAGATCGTGATCTTCTTAGTAATTATCTTAGTATCTTCAAAAAAATTCAGATTATTTAGGAAAGTCGTTTTGCAGAAACCCGGGATTGAACCAGGGACCTTCAGATCTTCAGTCTGACGCTCTCCCTTCTGACCTATTTCGGCAGATACTGTATTTCTTAAGAACCTACTTCGAAGAGTGATGTCCTTTCCAAATAGCAGGTTAAATTTGCAGAAATCCCGAAAATGACGCCGATTTGTATTGTATGTATTGTATTTAAAACTTCTTTTAAGACGCTGGCCCCATCAGCTACAGACTGGTTTTCATGGGGGGCGTCTACTACACTATATTATACTAAATTAACAAGACTACTGACTATATTACACTAAATATTTACAAGAAGAAACTATTACTATTTACCAATTACACTATATACAAAAGTATAAATCGTAGGAGCACTCTTGGCATCATAAGACAGACTATTCCATAAGTTAGCTCCTCTATATTTAAAACTCCTTTTTAGAAATTCTTTTTTAGGTTTTGGAATTGAGAGGTCAGTATCATATCCTCTCAAATTATAAACATTATGGTCACTTCGTGCAGAAAATGTTTCGCGAAGGCACGGGGCTGTGCCATTTCTAAGGATGTTGTATGCCATAACCGCCTTGTTGAATTTAAATCTGGTATCGAGATTTTTCCAATTGAGCCATTCAAGGAGTTCAGAGGAATTGGTATCACAGTTTGCTCCCGTCAGAACCCTTGCTGCTCTATTTTGGAATCTTTGCAATTTTTGTTTTAGTAACGCCCCACAATTATCCCAAAGGGGAGAGCAATAATCAAAATATGGTTGAATTAATGCTTTGTAGATGGTGTGCAAGATCTCATTTGGGACAAATGATCTAGTACGTTTTAATATTCCAATTCCTGCACTAACTTTTTTACAGATTGAGTTAATGTGAGTTTCCCAACTTAGGTGTTCGTCAAGTTCAACTCCCAAACACTTAAATGACCGAAAACGAACCAATGGTTTGTTATTAAAAATCACCAATTTATTGCCAATTTTGTTCCGAATATTATATGGCGAGCCTATAAACATTAATTTTGTTTTAGTAGCATGGTGTTGCAATTTGTTGTCCGACAGCCATTTGCTAATATTTTTCAAATCAGAATTCAATAGATCTACCAATTCATCATAGTTATGAGATGAAGCATATATCTGTGTGTCATCGGCGTATAAACCCGCCGTAGTATATTTTAAATATTTTGGCAAATCATTGATATATAATAGGAACATCAAAGGACCAAGAATTGATCCTTGGGGCACTCCACTCTTTATTGTTTTACGGGAAGAGAAATGATCATTAACACAACAGACTTGCTCACGGTTTGTCAGATAAGAACCAAACCAATTTAACTCATTATCATAAATACCAAACTGATTTTTCATTTTAGACATTAAAATTTCATGATCAATAGAGTCAAATGCTTTTTTAATGTCCATTGAAATAAGGCCAGTTATTTTGCCATCATCCATGCTTTCTAACCATTTGTCACACATTTGGATAAGTAAAGATAAAGTTGAGTGTTTGGGTCTAAATCCAGATTGAAATTTTGAAAGAAGTGAATTTTCAGATAAATAGTCATAAAGTTGCTTAAAAATTTCCTTCTCGAAAATTTTACTAACAACACGAAGAATAGAAATTGGACGATAGTTCTCACATTTACTTCTGTCATCAGATTTATACATTGGCTGTACACGTGCTAATTTCCAATCAGTAACAAATATGCCAGTACGTAATGAAAGATTAAAAATTTTTGTTAGAGATGGGGCAATTATATCAGCTGAAATTTTGAGAACCCTAGCTGGAATTTTGTCAATTCCAGTCGATTTCGATACTACCAATTGTTTTAAATGGTTAAGAACTTGCTCATCACTTATAACAGAAAAACGAAAAGTTGTATCAAGCCAATCATTAGAGTCTCTATTTTCCGATCTCTGAAAGCTACGTTCATTTTTTTCTATCTCAATAGCTAGGGAAGGACCGATGCTAACGAAATAATCATTTAATTGGTTTGCAATTGAAACTTTGTCGGTGAAGACATTATTATCACTCCTTATTTCATTAATGATAGTAGATTTTGAATCTTTTCCTAACAAGTTATTGATAAGTGACCAGCTCATTTTAATGTTCTTATTCAGTAAACACTCAGAAATTTTTGTATTATAATAGTTAGCCTTAAGTTTTTTAATTTCAGCATTAATTTTATTTCTAATTGTTTTAAACTTTTCCCAATGTAATTCCGAATTAAATTTGTTGAACATTGCTTTATTAAAATCTCTTTCTCGCATTAACTGTTTAATGGAGGCAGTTATCCATGGGATTCTCTTAGTTCTAATATATTTCCTTAAAATTGGCGCGTGTCTATCAAGTACCTCAAGAAATAAGGATTTCCAAACAAACCAGCTATCATTTGGATCATTAAAATTATTTGCATATTCCCACGGAATGCTTGATAGGTCTTCCAAAAATAATCTTTCATTAAAATGCTTAAAATTTCGAACTTCCTTGGAAATCCGTTGACCCTTATGATGAGCCATTTTTTTAACTACATAAATTAAATTATGATCCGATATTCCAATTTCAAGTACTCCGTGACTATAAACACTATCAGAATTATTCACTAGAATTAGATCAATTTGAGTTGCAGATGATTTAGTGATCCTTGTAGGCACATCAATAATTTGCTTAAGTTGGTAGAGCGAACAAATACTTTTTAATTTTTGTGTATGATTGTTCACCGGAGATTTATTCCAGTCACAGTTTAGATCACCTAGAAGAATTAAGTCTTTATTTTCTACATCACATTGTTTAATGAAATTTTCAAAGCTGTCGAATAAATTCACATTTGAATTCGGTGGTCTATACCAAGCGCAAACTAAAAAGGATTTACCATATTGTCTATGTACTTCAATGCACACCATCTCAAGATGCTTAGGAATTAGTTTATTGCGCGTTCGAAATGAAAAGCAGTTTCTGATATACAACAAAACACCCCCACCGTGTCTGTTGCGACCCTTCTGCACGTAACGTATCCTGGTATTTTAATTCATTATCATAAACGGATTCATCAATTTTAGATTCATTAATCGCTAAAACATCTAAAGGATTTTTTTCCAACATTATTCGAAGCTCATCGATATGTTTCAAGAGGCTATTTATATTGAGACTAGCAATTCGAAAACCTTTGGAGTTAGCAATTTCGTTAAGAGGATTCACAGATGTAGGGTTATCATTATTAGTATTATTACTAGTACTAGTAGAATAACAATTTAACGAGTTCGTCTTCGTAGTGGCATTGGAGTCTGTGTTAGAGCTACCAAGTTCAACAAGTCCCTCAGAAAATTTTCCGATGGGCTATGAGTACCAGCAGCAGTTGCCTGATTGTGTACTTGCTTATTTGGGTTCAGGAACTTAATAAAACGCGTTGCTAAGAGAGCAGACCCTTTTGTATTTAAGTGCAGTTTACTGCCATTTAAACTAGATTCATCTATGATTGAATTTTCAATAAAAGTATAACCTAGTTCATTACATAGGTGTTCTAGTTGAGTATTTACCTCATCAATTTTTCCTGATACGTCAATGTCTTTTCTTTGAATTATACTTGAGAGCCCTAGCTTAGCATCAGGAAATCGTTCTTTAACTCGAGCGCATAAGCCTTTGACACTCTTTACACATTTGCTGCTCGAGTCCATCGGGAGATTGTTTGTTCCTGCGTGAATAATAACATGAGTTGTACTCGTAGGTGATTGTACGCTTATATTTTGGATTTCAGAAGCAATTTCCTCAGTTGTTTTGCCTGGATATATAAATTTGTTAACTCGTTTTCTTGACAATTTCCGAGGGTTTATATTTTTGACCATAGAGTCGCCGATGAGAACGATATTCGATTTGCTTTCAGAGTGTTTATACACTGTTTCTCTTTGGGTAGTTTCTTCTTCTACGCTAAGTGGCGTATAACGATTATGAGTTGGGATATGGGTTGAATGTTTAACTTGATCATCGCTGTCTATCTCAGGTTCTTCGGCTTCGTTATTTCCTATGTCAGTGTTTGATGTAGTAGGTCTATTGTTGCTTATTTGAATGCTTGGTTTTAGGGCATCTTTCATCTGTGCCCGTGTTGTGCATTCATCCGCTCCATTGGGCCCGCTTTGTTCGGTTTCGGGGTTATGCTTCGGTAATTGGCTCTTTTCGATCACTGTATTTGACTCTGCAACTAATAGGCGCATAGCAGTGATCATGCTG